GTGCTGCGGTGTTGCCGAATTGGATTATTTGATAGTATACGTTGCATCAACATGAGGTTGCATCATCAGTGCAGTGTCTATGGCTACAACATGACCAAAGAACCATGGAGACTTCTCGGCGAATCGCGACAATGTCTAGAAATTGCTAATGAAGCTAGAAGAACTGTGACTGGACCAAGAGGAAACGATGATGCTCATCAATGCAACTGCTCGATTAAGTGCTGTCAACCAACAGCTGATGAAATAAGTTATCGCGGATGTCTAGATAATAGCGGAAGGAAAATCAGGAGTATGATGACCGAAAGTAGATACAAAGTTCTTGTCTCTCAGCTTACTACATCTAAAAATAGGAAATTTGTGGGCAGGTAAAAGGTTCACGAATGAGAGCCCCTGTAACAAGACTCGTTGTGGATGTCGTCATACAAAAATTGAAAGGGGATCCACTACTAATTATGAAATTGAAACGCTGGGTTCGCTGCGTCAATGATATATTTGTGATACTCAAACACAGTCAAGTAGCAAATGCACACCAGATGCTCAACTACGCAATAGACGACATCTATGTTAACTTTTGGGGGATAAAAATGACCCAAGTAGTCGGCCATCCTGCCTATACAACTAACAGTCTTCAAGTCAGTAAGAGAAGATATCACTTTGAAACCGGTTTCAGATCCTTCGATCCCAGTAAGAGCCAGTAAAAGACCCCCCTCCGCAACGGGTAATTCGATCACTTCACATCTCAATTTGACGTCAATTTCAGTGCAACGTTACAAGAAGCTGTGAAGATTATGGTCATACCCTCTCCGATTACTTCCGAAGACCATACATTCGCCGTTTAAAACGCTTCGAGAAGAGTACTCGTGCTTACATTGGCCATTTTCAAAGTATTTCACCACACGGTTATCCCTCATACTAAAAGCAGTCACAGAAAGCATTAAAAAGAGCAAACGTGGTTCTACAGCCTGAGAGATATCAACTTCGAGAATAACCTAGTGATGGCTAACAACAACAGCGCATCAGCTGGAGTTAGTTATGTACAATATTTCTGAGCTCGGCGTTAAACAACTTTAGGTTGATGTACAAACGTAGATCATCCAATTTCTTGGTGGTGACGGCCACTTTGTTCACCCAATCGGTCGATTGATTGACCTTGACGATAACACCGAGTGGACGTTAATTCTTCAAAAAAATTTTATGTGCTCGCTCAGGTAGCTGGCTTAGCGGTTTCGATTCCGAACTTTCCTACAAATCATGAATGAAGTCAGAAAATATGGTGATATGTATGGGTCAATAAACGATCACAGCTAAAGGGAACAACGTCAGGTTCCCGAATGAATTCAATATTAGGGATGGGCATAATGGTGTGATGTGCAGTCCCAAAGATTGATAGCGTCCGTGGTAGCGCTAAGCTTCATTTAAAGCATCAAGCAGTCCCACATGTTGACATGGCAGTTTTGTGTTCCTTTGTACCGTGTTTCTGCACGATGGTTGTCTGGCGGTGACTCATGAATCTCCCTAGGGTCGCACGGATTCTCCTCCCATCAAGATTGATGCAAGGAAACAATTCCTATGAATGTTTACGTGTATGATATTTAGCAAAAGCACAAACACAGTGCTCGAGGTTCCAGACAGAATGACAACAAAAACTGATACGAACTTATTTCATCTCTCATACAAACTTTGGCTGAAAGTCAGGGATAATGGGTCACACACAACTGGAAGCAAAGAAGGGCTAAGTGATGAAGAAAAAGGTGATCCGTTGATGCTCGGAGCGTGGCACCGTAAGGTCAAAACGGTGAAGTGCATTCCACTCACCCATAAATTTGTGGCTCAGTGGGGTAACACCATATGAAGGACTGAGGTTGACTGCAAGCCACGCAATTTGGTAAGTTTGAAAATCGAATTGGAAACAAATGTTGACATGTGCTACGTCTGTTAACATTATAGTCCGGAACTTGGGAATAACAATTTCGAGTGACAGAATGATTGAAAAATGGGAAGTGAAATAGCGGTGTTAGTTATTCGCCTGGAATCTGCTTGACGCTAGCTAACGATTCTACTTTGCTAACAAACGGCTGGATAGGGTGTAAGTAAGCTTTTTTGCGATTTAAGCAATGTAGATGAGTTAGCTGACCTGGTCACCGTTCACGAAAACACATGTTCATGATAATCGAGGAAATGAGCTACTAACTTGAACCGGAGCGACCCAAACAGTGGTTTAGTTTATAGTATACAAAATGAAACAAGTTCATCGGAGAAAACTACTAGTGCGGTACACATTAGTATTCATGAAGGATAAGAAACCTATAATTGCACAATGACTGTCTCTGAAGGTCAGAAAGACTCTGAGCAAAGATATCGGTTGTGTAGGCTTTGGAAGAAGGAGTCATGCAGTAGGATGAGTACAACTGTGCCAGAAACAAGAAGTAGAAATAAATAGGCGAGTCGGTAAGAAAAAATGGCCAACTATACGATATAATAAGGTGGAAGAACATAGACCACAAAGGGTGTAACAGGAAAGCAGCTCGTGAAGAACATGAGACTCAGCCGTGGGCAGACGACTGACAGCTTAAGCAATGTATCTTGCGAATGTAGGTTGTTGTAATAAACAAGTTTCAGCCCCATCAATCTAGGCGAACATTTGCACGCCTTTGGGAGGATCTCAATGGAACAATGGTGTATTACGGGTAAAATAAAGGCAATCCCTAACGCATTTCGTGGGATGGAAATTAATGGGAAAATAAAAGTCCGTGAAACGATAGAAAGTACCTTTCTGGACTCATCATAGTGTTCGTATTGAGACAGTGTAAGAGAGCCGAGATGTTCACGTGATAAAAGTATATATCCACTGGTTGAAATTTTGAAAACACACCGTTTGATTGCCTTATGTAGCGTCCAGGTTTACATAAGGCATAAAATGAAATGCGACAATGCTTCAAGTTTTTTAAACATTGTTGACTTGGGGGCAGAGACAACATCATGCGGGACAGCGTTCCACGGCTGACACACTCGAAGGGAAAAGAAATTTCGACGGTAAAGGTATGGGTCTGATGAGATTTACGCGACAAGAATTCTTCACTCACAAATCGATTTCTGATTTTGAATATGAACAATTTCTACGGTATTCCAGCCGACTATACAGAATTGTTAGCTTCAAAGGATGACCTCTTATGTAAGCTATTATGAGGTCCCCCTGAAAGCGCCGATATCGAGTCATGTACATTCTCCTAAAGATTTCCACCTAAGCTGGTATGGCAAATGAAAGAGGACCTTAATGTTTTTGGTTTCCCTCCGTTGAGGGGCCTCAAAAGCAGCGAGGTCCGAGTACCAAGTCTGGATGGCGCATTCCACGTGCGGTCGCAACTAAGCGTTAAGCACTAATGGGATGATCGGGCGTCAAACCGACCGAACGATCTGAGAAGAGGGCCAGTTTCGATTACCGATTCCAGGCGCCTTCTTGGATTGTTTTGAGCAGCCGAGATCGTTCTGTACCAGTGCACTCACTTCTGAAAGGCATTCTTCAACATGCTGTTTCCAACCTTGTAAATGCTCAAAGACTGACGACGCAGATAGATCATTTTGTAGTTATCTGTGTGGAACTGCAGTAAATCCCTCGTTTATCATTCATCAACGTAATCCCGGTCATTTTAGAGAAAATCGTAACCCTTCTTGCTAATAATCGCTCGCCATATTTTAATGCTATCGGAGAAAAGCAGGAAATTAGAGATAACTCTTGTCAGATCATTGATGAACAGCAGGAGCAAGCGCGATCCCAGCACCCAGCCCCGTTGAATACCGTATTCCATCTCCGTCGGGTTGGAGAGTGATCACCTAACACACACTAAAAACCTCCGTTGGTAAAGAAAGTTGGCAATCTAACAAAATACAGGATCGCAGATGCCATACATCTGTAGCTTGTGAAGTAGAATGGGGAGATCTAACTGGTCAAAAGCTTTGGAAAAACGCCAGTTAGATGACATCGACTCCGACGGGACCACCAGCGACTTCTATCTAACTACCTTGTGCGATCATTAGATTGATGGTGTATGACCGGTGTTGACGGAAGCCGTGCTGCTCCAGTGCCAATACATTGCATTTATCCAGGTAGTCCATTAGATCCTCAGCGACGACCGCCTCCGTTACTTTAGAGAGCACAAGGAGGAATCACTAGGCGATAGTTTACAGGGTCTGAAGGGGTATCGCCTCGAAACAAGGAAAGCACAGTTCCCAGTTCCTTAACTGAAGAAAGCGTCTTATTAGTCAAGTCAAGACAGCATAAGCTTTATGTATCCAAAGGGGTGCATGTTCAGCATTTTACATTATCAACTGTAAATTTACCAAAGAGTTACCATGAAAAATGCTAGGTTTACAAATGGGTAGAAAAATAGGCGTGCACTGTCATAGATCGATGGAGAAACGATCCCAGAAGCATCTAAATTATCGGGATTTGTAGCCATTCAAAAACAAAAAGGCTTCATAAAGATGTTTCGTCCGAGTTTGCTTCAATTGACGTAGAATTTTGTAAAGCGCAATACGAAGACTACCAAAAGCACGCATTTCGTATTGTCTCATCAGAATTTTGTGTCCAATGACAATAGATGGTGCGAGATATCACGCTTCTATGTTTAAAGGAGTAAAGGGTCTCAGTGATCTTGAAACTGAACAAAATATGTCAGCGTAATCTTGAAAAACTGAGGTATATACAGTAGACAAGGTGAAAGAATGATTTTCTGCGTAAAAGGTAATAGCCGATTCAAAGGTGACACAACTCGGATCCACAAATCCTGCTTCAGAGCATAATTATTATTCAAGGGATAACAGAAGCCAGATTGGAGGTGTGAATGTTCAAACGATCAAATCAAGTGGTTTCCAAGTGGAGGTCAAATGATGGTAGGCGCAACCCAAATCGAGACGATGTATTCGTCTGATTTCAGTATCCGTTATAAGTTGATCATAGAAGTTATCCAGCGTGTGTAGTTGATGTGACAAGAGAATGACATGAACTTAAAACGTGGAGACAGGATTGGAGGGCAAGTGGGAAAGAATTACAATCTATGACGGAGGCAAGTGCCCAGTTGTTTTCAATAAAAAGTGCAGATTTATAATTTTTCAAAAGTTGTTTCATAATTACAAGTTGTACAGCGTTTGACATAGACGTCATTTTCAGTATCGTGAACTTCTGGCCCGAAGCTGTGTTCGTGAGTGGTGTGGGTTTTCATAAACAGGCTGCTGCGTGTTTGAACCTTGAGTTCTAAATGAAAACACAGATGAGAATAAGCACATTGAAAAGTAAAGCCAGCTGCATCTGAATTCGATTTGAATGTAGGAGAATCGCTTTGGAACACAGTGAGAAATGGAAGTTACACTTCACTGCGATCTATTTGTCTTAGTAAAACCATCGAGACCAGGTTTAAGAACCTAGACTTTTTCTATATGATGCAAAATGACCTGGTGAAATATCGATTGGCTAAAAACAGCAGATATGGTGCTTAACTTAGTGACGAAACATCTGCAGTCAGGATACACAGCTCCGAGAAAAGCCGAACGCTCTCAATCCGCGTCCAGAGCAACAAGTATTCTCAAAAATGGACACTCGGTTTCTCCATTCGTTGTCAGTCTCAGAAGCACAGTAGCGTGCAGCTGTTCTGCACGTTTAAATCGCGTCATGCACCGACGTGGTTGCACTCACGGCAACCAACAGACGGTCAAAGACGATTCTTATCGGTGACACTCATATTGTAGACGTAGAAGAACTGATAATTAGAGGTGAAACGGGATGTCTATCGAGATTTGAGTAACAGCAAAGAGACCATCTACTGGTCGATGCCTGCAGTATAAAAAATAGTGGCTATTTTACTTAACCTGTTTTTCAGCAGCAAAACTATCCCGTATAAGTGTTCGCATCGTCAAATTACTGCCATACAATGTGGCCGAACACGGGCTCCGGTGACAGAAGCTATATAGCTTGTGAATCTGGTGATCCACACTTATGGTTCACTTTCAGAATGCACCACAATGAACAGCCTCACATATGTGCCATTCAACTTGTAAGTCCCATCGAACTTAATTAGCAGCGGTCAAAAGTAAGGAGATGCCATGTGGTCCCCCTTTCCATTCAGACAGAAGTCCGGGGTTACCAAAGGCACGCATATCGGCCGGTTGGTGGCCGATGCCTGTTTTGTTGGCATTGACGATGAATCATTAGCTACAGAGTAACCGCAAGTTTGATATCAGTACCGTTCCAACACATATGGCACACAAGTCTGATAGAGGTTCCCATGAATAAGGCCAAATCTAGGAAAAGAGGGCAAAAGTAGGAAAATAACCCACCCATCCCAAGAGCTACCTTCTACCAATATCAACCGTAAAGTCGCTACCCCTGCTGCAATGATCATGTCACCTAGACTATTGAAAAATGTAAAAACAAACAGCCCAGCTAGACCAGTTATTAAATAACTAAATGGAAAACAACCCGTTGGCGTAGCTGTTAGATCATCCTCAAATTTTTGAACGCCGCTTAATGCTTGAAAGACACCCGAAGTCAACGGAACGACGTAGGTGAGGATTGCACACAAAACTTTTCGTTTTGTCAGATGTTAGAGGATCAATGAGTTCAAAAACATCAATCTGATAATAAAACATTGTATTACACACACTTAGCTAATCGAGCCATAAGTGTGCATGAAAGAATGAATTATCAATTCGTTCTGACGCTCTTGCATCAAGAGCGAAATATGGCTACGATACGAGCCCGTAAAAAGCCGATTTGTATTACAACCCATCTGAGAAATCAAACCAATCACCTTGTCGTTTAAGACAATAAGGGCACTGAGATACAGTGATGTCTTAAGGCGTCAGCAGTATGCCGGTATGTCGTACAGACGCTTTGCTGCCACGCGACAACCAATGGTCGCGCGTGGGCTGCACATACTGCGATGTCGTCCGCACCTACGCGGAATCGAACAGGTGATTTCCAGATTACTCAGCAGGCGTGTAATCTTTTCCGACAGCGGCCGATGGTGGTGATGTAAATTCGCAGCAGGGGCTAAAAGCAGGGAATAGGGTGGTCACAAACAACCGGCTGGGTTATCGATGAAGTCATGTGGAATCCGTTGGTACAAAATTATTGCTTGCATAGCTGGAGTGGACATTCTGCGCTCAAGCAACATTTTGATTTCTGGTGTCAAGGTGGATCCTAAAAAAGGAGCTGGCAGGGTGAAGAGTGGATAAGACATCTGCTTAGTAATACATAGGTCACTGGTTCGAGGCTGCAGACGTGCGGGCGGCCACTTCACAGTACCCATGCCCAAACGCGACTGATGATGGGCGCATGGCAGCGGAGCGTATGTACAGGGGGTACTGCTGATGCCTTTCTTTTACGCTGGAAACGACGATACATGCAGCTTCCAGCAGTGAAGTTAGCTGAAATTTCAATATAGACCAGAAACCCGAATAACGGTTCAACACTCCAAAGAAGACGGGAATGAAGAGTGTTGAAAATGACAGCAGCATCCGATATATGTCGAACGCGAGTTCAATGGGAAATAAGTCGCAGAAGCAGTGGGGAAAGATGGCTTCTTGGTACTTCATGTGTACCAATAGACCGTCTAACCAAGTGATGGGAGTGAGTTGGAGAAACAGTCTTTCATATAACAAGCGATGTGCCGCACGAGGCAGTGACGTACTGTGATATATGGGCATAATGACACTAGGTGTCGACTAGTGGTGGTCATCAGACTAAGTGAGCAGATGGTCGAAAAGCCGATGTCAATAGTTCAAGTAGAGTAAGTGCGAGATCAATTATCAGCGTTTGACACAGTAGCTGTTTCTCCACATGCCATATCCCGTTGACGCTGGCGGTTGAAACGTCCACCAGCTAGCCAGCAGTGCCATTGAGGTATTGCGAAAAAGTATTGGGACAAAATAACTTCTCTGGTCCTAATGGTACCATTTTGTGTCAATTCGCTTTGACAAGTGGCTCGGCAGACAATGGCTACACGGCTGGCAGACTGAAGTGTACCTGGAAATATCTGATGCAAGAGATTCAACTCAACGTGCGTGGAGTGTACCAGTTGTTTAGGACTCTCGGTAGAACCTTGGTTCAGTGTTCCTCAGGTAAGTGTTTCGGATGAGACAGAACAGCATTCTGATGTTCCAAACGACCCCGATCTCGGTAATAAGAGATAGCACAACCTGGCAACGTTCCCGGTTAGTCTAAAGGACTCCGAATAAATCTACTTCAGGCAGTGAGGGTATGAAATTGGCTACCGAAAGACATGTTATCGCGACAAATGAATGTCCATCGGCATTCTTACGTACAAAGGTATCCAGCTACTCTCCAACTCCAATGAGGTCAGTGGCAACATATATACTGATGCTGTCAAGCAGCGTGGTAGCTGAATCTGTTGGCACCCACAAAGACAACAAAGCTGGGTGGGCGTGTGCATGTGTGCTCAAGCACTCAAGAGACAAGGACTCATAACGGAAGAAATATGGTATAACTTGGATTGGAACGTCAAATCATAAGGCACGGACAAGATATAATCAAGCCTCTGCAGGAAAACATTGGAAATTAGAGATCCCGGCTATAAACTCCAATCGGGACATGCGTTACAGGGAAAGAGCGGGTCAAGTGAATCTACGATTTAGTGCAACAAGTCAGAGTGACTAATCCGATGCGCATGGCTTTGAACAGTTACCGTGATGGAAATCGGATGAGTACTGTCATTTACGAACCTTTGATTTTTCTGCTGTAACGTTTCAGCTTTATTTCCTGCACTCGAGAAAGACGGCGTTCGCGCTCCGCTTCAAGGTTTTCCTCGCTGCCCCAAATCGACAAGGCCCGGTCTGCGATCTCAAAGGAAAAGAAACGAGCAAACACACACGAGAGTAACCGGGTCAAATGGGCTTCTCAGAAAGGGGCGTATGCCGCAGGGGCAATAGGAAAAAATACCATGTTTGATTTAGTAATCCGAACAAAGTTAATGTCGAGGATGGTTATGACACTGCCGATTTTGCAAATGATGAATTCTGCACACATTTTGACCGTAAAACCCTCTGGCAGAGTGACGCGAGGAAATCAGGAGAGATCGCGACCAGCGTCATTAGTCAACGCACAAAACAAAACAGTATGCAAATGGCGATCACTCTACAAGGTGCCGAAGACGTCAGTGAAACGAATAAGCTGCGTGGGAATAGACAGAACATGCGTAACGAAAGGTAACTTAAAACTGCAGCCAATTACCTAAAATCTACCTAGGTATGCGGAACTTACTAAAACTGCAAATCGAAAAGGGTAACCAAACAAGGGCATGACAAGGGTGTACGTAGAAAATCAATGAAGGTCAGGTATGTAAGAATTTCCCGGAAAAACTATTGTTTCAGCGAGTAATCGATTGATACCGATTATTGCATCAACTTTGAACTTTCTGGAATGTCCCAATGCTTGCATGTGATTACACAACCTTCGGAATCTTGGCTGGATAGATGTGGTGCTGCTAATTTCACCAGTTGACCTGCTTATTCGAGAAGTCGAAGGTCATTAAGTGATCTATAAATACGAGCAGGGTCTGAGTAATTTGTACAGTGCGTTTTGGCGGCGGCTAATGCATTATTTTGCCAAGGTCATTTGCGTTCTGGTTTTCCCTTGGGTTGGGCTAGAGGACTTGTGGAGCAATTAAGTGTTTATTTTAAAATCCCAACAAGTTGGAAAAAGCAACAGAATGGTGAGTTTTTGTGTAGATTCGTCGCAGGTGGACGAATCTACACAAAAACCCAATAAATCCCCTTACTTCTTGCAAATAGTACGGTTGACACTTATCGTTCACTTAAACAAGACTCATGTGATAGGCCAAGGAAGTGGCGTTTCTATATTTGCTACCATATTTCTGAGCCTTAATTGCTCCTTGCGAAGACTATACTTCTCTCTATAAATTCTGAGCTGCCAACATCGTCATTAAAAACGTTAGCGGAACGTGGACAAAACCTACGTCGTTGTACCGGAATATAAAGCAAGTAAATGGTAGTTGTAATCATCAACAACGTCATATCAGCCATTTGGACTGATGCTTCGCAGCCATACAACCATCGTGACCCAACTAACGAAGAAGAATAATAGCAGAGAGGGACATAGTATAAAACCTAAGTGCCCCAAGTAAACATTCAGGGTCAAGGGGCCTACACCTTGTCAACAACATACTACTGTCATGCAAAATTTTCCCTTGATAAATTTTAAGCTTGCAAGAAGGAACAACATTTTAACAGGATACTCTGAATTCAGATATTTCAGGTATTCTCATCAGCCATTAACATACAATCTGTGAAAAAAGGTGTTGCGTTTAAAAAGAAACGACGTTCAAGATCACACAATTTAAGGTTGAAACACAAAAATATACAAAGGCAAGATGAAGCTACTCATAAACTCAGTCTGCTTGCATAAATTAGGTTTCAGCCACCGAATTGCTGAAGCTTCAGCAAACTGAGGTAGGCGAGGATTTCTCTGTCGGTTAATTATCCTGAACGATTCGCGGGGATTTTGACATATGGAACAGTCTAGGATGTGTTGGGCAATGGAGCTTGCCGGCATCTTGGGATCGTTCGCGAGCATGTTAGGTGGAATGTGCTCTGAAATCCTAGTTGACAGGCCTCTCTAAGTTCGGCCCAAGCCCCTGCAACCGCAAGTACAATGAAAGAGGTAAACAAATGAGGCGATAACTAGAGGGTCTGGCTTGTCAAGGTTGGATTTGAACAGCAGCTTCCATACTTAGTGCAACTGCACAAGTTAGGCCGCATAATAACACTTCTTTATCATCTATGGTAGACGGTGCCGGAATCTGCTTTTTAAACGCAACACCATTTTCTACGGATTATATGCTAACAGCTGATGAGAATACTTGAAATATCTGAATTCAGAGTATCCTGTTGAAACGTACTACTGTGTTCAAAACGAAAGCAAACGTTTGAAACAGCAAACCAACCGGCAATGGTAGCGCGCTGCGGCTACTGCATGCATGTAGAGGTATATTCAGACAACAAACTACCATTTACTGCGTTTCGCTCTAATTGTTAGTTGGCGAACCAGAGCCACTGAAGCAAGCCGTTGCACAAGCTGCTTGTCAGATTAGCGTCAAGGTAACAATGAAAGGATTTGAAGAACATTGTGTGCACGCGTAGATTTTCGATACAAACGGTAAAACATTTACAGAGACATTTTAGTTTATCAGCCAAGCAAACGGGGAAGACTTCGTGGGTATCATGCAATGCTTTGAGTAGCTTGAGCGTTTCGAACCGCGGTAGAATGTCGGTCGGTGAAAACCCTAAGCATGGATGGCATTGCACATCAACAGATGATGACCACATCAAGGGATCGTGTGTGACCCGTGGGAATCGTCGTCTAAAAGTTGCTGACGCAGTGGATATCAGCTAGGACCATGCCATTCACTTTTGGGTGACAAACTTGAGATGCGTCGTATTAGTGCGCACTTCGTTGTTGCATCATGAAAATGTTCCGGCCAAAGTACTGCTCATTATCCGCAGCTATCTAGGAAATCATCAAAGTCCCATTCTGTTCCATCTATCGTATTATCTGGGCCTAGCCTCAGCAGACCTTTTCCTATTTCCTTTCATAAAATCACGATATAAGGAAGTTGATTCCAAAAAATAGGGGCGATTAAGGACAATGCAACAAAAGAACTGTCCGCCATCCCAGAAAGTGTGTTCCAGGAAACTTTCCATGAATGGAAGCACCGTTGAGAAAAGTACACTGCCAGTAGAGGGTACTACTTTGCGGGGGATTAGTGTTGTAAATGTTGTACCGTGAGAAGTAAAAATGTCATAGAAAAAGTTCGCTTTCTTGTTTGAACACAGTAGTATCATAACAAACAAGTGGCTATCGTGCAAAGCTAAGGCAGTGCCGGTGAAATATCATCTTTGCGGATTTCACTGCTCCGCCCCATAATCAGCCATTTATCCGCAGATAACTTAGCATCAAATACACATTAAACAGGCAATCTGATTAGGAGACGGCAGCAGATGCGCCAATGGTATCGACTCCGAGCCATGTCCTGTTATGTCTCAAGCCAAGTAAGAGGCCGGCAATGTGGACTCCAGCCTGGAAGGCGAGACGGACTGAGGAAACCCAGCTTGGTCGTTAATGGCTTCATTTCCCTTCTGCCAAGTCAACTGTTGTCCACCTCGGGCCCTGCGCTACCCTACATCTGGCAAACAAAACAACGCCCTTCTCAGTATGCAGTACGTGCTCAAATCAACGCAACTTATTTAGTACTCTGTAGTTCTAAGGAACTAGCCTAGTTATCACTGCCTAGCACTCGTCTACGCACATCCTCGTTGCGGACACGTTGCTGCCATCCAACATCAGCAATACTTCGAAGACAGCGAAGATAATAAAAAAAGTTGAAGGCGCCGCAGGTCCTCAGATCGAAGGGGCCAAATTTCCCTAGGATAGAGTAAGATGGCCCTCACTGTGACCTTGTGAACAGTCTTTCAGACCGAGGGAAACTCTGCTGATGACATAGATGTAGCAATTTCAAGAAAGCAGTTCTAGCTTTCGAGATACTTTAACTGACTTCAGTGGTTATGCGCCCATTGTTGCTGATACAGCTGCCAAAGTAAAAGAATGGATCAACTACCTTGAGTTCTTCGTTATCAAGAGTCGCAGGGTCGGCAAGTGGCGCGTGGTCTAGCACCAACCTTTTTCTTTGAAAATGCCAGACGCATGCCAAATGATGGGATCAATCTAGAGGGTTTATCTAAAGTTGACTCGGTCGCCCCAACATCGTTGAACAGCAAGACAACATCGTCCGCATAATCAAGATCAACTAGGTTTCCATCAGGCAGCACATCATCGCCTGCAACGTGCGTTCCACAAAGGAACACTGCATGATGGGGTCCACGACGAAATTAAACAAAAATGGGGACATTGGGCAATCCCGCCGAGTTCCACTTGTTGTCGGAAGGATAGCCGACAGGTCACAGTCTACTTTGACGCGGCCTGCAGTGTTCGAGCACGGGGTATATAAAATGTTCACGTTTTTCATAGGAACACCTTTCCGTGCAAGTACTTGGAATGTATAGGCATCAGCAGTACGCCAGTACGCATTACCGGCGCCTCACTGAGGTGCAAGCACAACCGGTCGCACGTGGGCTAAGAATACTGCGAGTGCAGCCCAGTTCTTACAGAGACTCGAACCCGCGCCCTCAGATTACAAGGCAGGCTTATGATCCTTGAGACTAAGGGCCAGCCAGTATGCATGTATGCGAGATATTTCTGTCTAACTGCATCTAAAATGCCTCGGGTGCGATGACCCATTATGTTGACGGGCATTCATGTTGGCAAAAGATTTGCCAAAGTATTTATTGAACACCGACACCGAACTTCGCTTCGAATACGTGCGGTGGAAAGTTGTTCCATACATTAAATACTTTTCATTCGAAGCAGAATTGAACGATGAACAAGGATTTATAACGGGTAAAAAAGCATGTGCTTGACAAGTCCCCTAGGATGGTTGGGGTCCAAATTAAAATTTGAACTATCTTCGAATAAGTAAATCGTTATTTCAAGCGTCCACCGAGTTAAATGCACTACTGCATAACAATAGTTTGAAGTGGGAATGGGATGTACACACGCAAAATAACATAGAGAGCTGTTATAGTTCAGTAAATGTGAGAAATAAAAAGGAAACGATAACGCTCACTCGTTTGTTTCTTCATTCGACAGATGTGGTATGTTAATGCAGTTTAGTAAATCCAAGCTAATCACATGGACACTTCTGCATGTATCCTCACCGCCACGTTGCGGAGAGGGCTGTTAAGCAATTGGTTAGGTTGGTGTTATTT